ATGTGCTGGCCGCGGCTTCTCGCCACCCCCATTGGCCCAGGACGGCGAACCGCGGCCAGTGGGGGCCGTGATCGACCAAACCTGCCGCGTCAGCAGGTAAATAAAACTGGCCCGGCCCACCAGGGTGCTTACCCTGGCGAGCCACGTGCCGAACGTTGCCGACCCCCTGGTATATAAGGTGCCACAGGACTCTTTGCTGCTAGAGCAGGAGGTGAACTCAAACTGTCAGCAACAATGTATATTAATAAATGTATTTAAAGTTACTTTCGGATCAGGGCATTTTAATAATGTAGGTTTAAACTAACCCAACAGTTTGACGAATTCCCTTTTAACTTCGTGCAAATATTCTTTTACTTTCTGGCAAATCTGCCAGCTTTCAAAATGAACAAGTTATCCAAACCGAAGCGACAAGGCGTTGCTAAAATAAAGCGCTGTAATGGAAGCTGACTCTATCCTGGCGTGGAGGAGACCAGCGCCTCTCCAGAGCCAGCCTGCTATTTTCAAAGGCCGTTTCACAGGGAAGCATCGATCCGCGTGAAACGGGCTCTAACAGTCCCGGGTACAACCAGAGCAGGGACACGAGCTGGGTTACAGCAGCGACCTCCCCGGCTCTCTGCGCTGCCCCTGCGCCGGCACCGAGCCCGGCTCAGGCTGGCACGCGGCAGGACCCGGGCCGCGCGGGGCCGCATGGCTCCCGGGGAGAGACTCAGTGCCCGGGCAGGGATCTTCCAACTCCGCTCTCCTGGCCCAGGGACCCCAGGCGGTGCCGGGCGCCCCGCGGGCTCTCTGGGGCTTGGTGAGGGGGGTCCCCCCCCGGCCGCACCTGCTCCAGGGTGAGCCGCAGGAACTCCTGCGACAGCAGCTCCGGGTGCAGCAACAGGTCCGAGTCCATCCGGCCGCCGCCGCCACCCTCCCTTGCTGCCCCCCGGCCTCCTCCCCGCGCCGCCATTTTCCCGCGCCGATTCCTTCCCATCGCCGTTCCCACAATGCTGAGGGTGGCGCGTGGGCAGGAAGTGACGCAATACGGACTGAGGGGAGGAATGTCAAACCCCGCCCAGGCCGGCGCCGGGAGGCGCGTGAGTGAGCGTTACACGTTCCAAAAAAGGCGGCTTCAGCCGGGGGTGGGGCTGCGCGCTCAGCTCGCTGCGCCTGCTTCGCGCGAGCGTTGCCCCAGGGCGCGAAGCACCAGAACTCCCACCCCTGCCCTGCGCGCCGCTGGGGCTGCGCTCCGCCGAGTTTGACTTGAGTCCCTACGAGGCGCATCGGAGCTGCCTTGTAGGGTTTGCTGGGGTGTTGTGCTGTCTGTAGCTGTCCACAGCATTAATGCCTTGCAGCAGCACAGCCCCCCATGGAACAGATCCTGCAGAGCGCTACCTACTTTAATTGCTAGCTAGTAAAGTATTTAAGCACATTCTTAATCAGGGCCAGCTCCAGCTTTTTTGCTGCCCCAAGCAGCGAAGGGGGGGGAGGGGAGCCACCATCGCTGGCCCTTGGGCGGCAGCTCAATTGTGCTGCTCCATTCATCGGCAGCAATTTGGTGGCGGGTCCTTCGATCCCTCTCTTCCTCTTTGGTGGCACTTCAGCGGCAGCTCAAAGAGGAAGAGAGGGACTGAGAGACCGGCCGCCGAATTGCCACCGAAGACCCGGACGTGCCGCCCCTTTCCATTGGCCGCCCCAAGCACCTGCTTCCTTCGCTGGTGCCTGGAGCTGGCCCTGTTCTTAATTTTAAGCAGAGGATCACAGAATCATACAAATGCAGTGCTGAAAGGGTCTTAGTGATCACAGTCAGCCCCCTGAGCAGAGTCGGGAGAAAGTAAATAGAAGTATCAGAGGGGTAGCTGTTTTAGTCTGTATCCACAAAAACGACGAGTCTGGTGGCACCTTAAAGACTAACAGATTTATTTGGGCATAGGCTTTCGTGGGTAAAAAACCCACTTCTTCAGTAAGTGGGTCTGAAGAAGTGGGGGTTTTTACCCACAAAAGCTTATGCCCAAATAAATCTGTTAGTCTTTAAGGTGCCAGCGGACTCCTTGAAGTAAATCTAGACCAGGGGTAGGCAATCTATGGCACTCGTGCCGAATGCGGCACATGAGCTGATTTTCAATGGCACTCACACGGTCCTGGCCACCTGTCAGGAGGTCTCTGCATTTTAATTTAATTTTAAATGAAGCTTCTTAAACATTTTAAAAACCTTATTTATTTTACATACAACAATAGTTTAGTTATATATTTGACTTATAGAAAGAGACCTTCTAAAAACGTTAAAATGTATTACTGGCACGCGAAACCTTAAATTAGAGTGAATAAATGAAGACTCGGCACACCACTTCTGAAAGGTTGCCGAACCCTGATCTAGACCATCGTTGACAGGTGTTTGTACAATCTGGTCTTAAAATCATCCAATGAAGGGGATTCCGCAACCTCTCTTCGAAGCCTATTCCAGTGCTCAACTATCATTATAGTCAGGGCCGTCCTTACCCATACGCAAATTTCCTGGTGCCCTGTGCAGCTGTTTGCTGCTCCAGCCCCTGCCCCGCCCCTGCCCCAGGCCCCCCACCTCTGCCCTGCCTCAGCCCCGCCTCTTCCTGCCCCTGCTCCGCCCCAGCCCCACCTCTTCCCACCCCTGAGGAGTGCAGCAGGGTGGCGGAAAGTGCAGGGACCCAGCCCCAGCCAGCCCCCCCCGCCAGCCTTGCCCCACTGTAGTCCATGAAACTTATGCTCAATCTAATATAGTGAGGGATTACTGAAAACCTGATTCATCATATGTGAGGTTCATCAATCCCAAAGGATTGGACGCTTAGCCCCAGGCCAATATGAGTCTCAGTTCTTACCCAATAATTATCCTGATGCCAATACTTTAGTAACTAAAATTAAAGGTTTAATAATAAAAGGAAAAAGAATGAGAGTTGCAAATGGTTAAAAGATCAGTATACATACCAATATGTGTCAAGTCCTCAGGACAGTTTCATAGCAGAGATGATTTATAAAAGTCTTTCTGGATTCAGGTCCGAATCCAAAGGCAGCTTAGATGTAATGTCTGTTAAAGTTTTTCCATGCATTTTCCAGGATATTCCAAATAATTATTTGGAAGATCTCCATCTTATGACTTATACTTTCCCTGTTCAAAGTTTAAGCAGACTAGAGATGGCAGGATCAGGCCCTTTATAGCTCTCTAGCAAGCTGAGAAGCCTCTTGTCAAAGCAGGACCTTCCCCCCAGGAAGAATAGGCGGTGCAGATTGTCTGTGGATCATTGCTTTCAAGCTAATCTTCTATTTCCTATGCATACACAGGTAAACTAGTTGCACTCATTCACATAAGGCAATCAGTCTGTACTTCATTATAGCATAGATAGTTAAGCTGAAGACAACATAGATAATATTATTAGTTTCCTGTAGTATCTTACATATTTGATCTTAAGGTTAACAGAACCATGTGTGTGCTTAATATAAAGCAATTAAGACATAAAAGGGAATTAGCATCTACAAGCTAATCTGGTTACATTGTTAAACTTCTAACAAGATATAGGTAAACAGGCAAATACACTTAGCATCTACCCTTGATTTCTATTCAAGGGCGGCTCTATGTTTTTTGCCACCCCAAGCATGGCAGTCAGGCGGCCTTCGGCGGCACGCCTGTGGGCGGTCCACTGGTCATGCGGATTCGGCAGCGTTTCTGCAGGTGATCTGTCGGTCCCGCGCCTTCGGCGTACCTGCCGCCGAATTGCCGCTGAAGCCGCAGGACCGGTGGACCACCTGCAGGCATGCCGCCGAAGGCTGCCTGACTGCCGCCCTCATGGCGGCTGGCACGCCGCCCCCCGCGGCTTGCCGCCCCAGGAACGCGCTTGCTGTGCTGGTGCCTGGAGCCGCCCCTGTTTCTATTACTACAAATAAATGAGTTGACGATTGCTAGTCTAGTATATCTCTTTGAAATTCACACAAGTTGATTACATTTCAATGCCTTTTGTTAAATTGTTATGGATCATCCCCAGGTTGGCTGGTTTGTCAGTACACTAACCTAAATCTCCCTTGCTGCACATCACTTTAATTCCTTCTTGTCCTACTTTCAGTGGACATGAACAACAGTTGATCACCAAACTTTTTATAATAGCCTTTAGCATATCTGAAGATTGATATCATGTCTTCTCTCGGTCTTCTTTTTTCAAAACTAAATGTGCTCAGTTTTTTTACCATCACCTCATAGGTCAGGTTTTTTAAACCTTTTATCATTTTTGTTACTCTCCTCTATACTTTCCAGTTTGGCCATATTTTTTCTTAAAGTGTGGCACCTAGAACTGGACACAGTACTCTAGCTGAGGCCTCACCAGTGCAGAGCAGAGCAGGACAGTTACCTCCCATGTCTTATAAACACCCCAGAATTATCTTAACCTTTTTGGCAACTGCATCACATTGTTGGCTCATATTGAATTTGTGATCCATTATAACTCCCTGATCCTTTTCAGAGTCATTCCATTGAAGTCAATGGCATTAGGCACATGCTTTACAGGATTAGGGCCAGACTGCTCAGCACCTTGTAAAATCAAGCTGAAAAGACATATTCTGAGACAGGATGGAGGGACATAGTTTGTGTGATCAATGCTACCCTACCATTCACCTTGGGTAACTATTTAATTTGAGTTTTAAGTCATATTACAAACTACATAGGTACCACAGCAATAGGTATTTCTCTAATTCATTAAATTAAATAAGTACAACTCACACCTTCCCTTCTACAAAAGCATTCTATATAAATGTGAAAATTCTCTCTGAGACAATGTGGGTGTGGTAATATCTTTTGTTGGACCAGTCATAACAGCCAGTAGGGAAGAGGAAAAGCTACGTTCCTCACAGCACCCTGCCTGTGGGGTCAGGTGAGGCACGGGATATCGGGGGGAGAGGGGGAAAGAGCAGGGCACATGGGGCTACTGGGAGGTCACATAGACTGGGGTTCAGAAGGGCTAGTTGGGGGGACAGACTGGGCCAGAGGCTGAATGGGAGTGGGGGTGCAGGGCCACATGCAGATGGGGGGTAAGGGGTGCAGGGCCATGGGGGCAGAAGTGGCTGAGTGGGGGTGAAGGGTCACTTAGGGATGGGAAGTAAAACCATGGGGGATGGCTGAGTGGGGGTGCAGGAACACATGGGGACAGGGCAGCTGAGTGGGGGTGTAGGGACACATTGGGACGGAGCCAGATGTGCCTGACTGAATGGGAGAGGCTAGGGGTTAGCCAGGGTCTGCATGGGGGAGGCTCCCCAACTCTCTCAATATCCCTCCCCACCCCCAAACAAACCTGTTCCATACTTCTCCCACCCACACTCAACAACCCTCCAGGTTCACACCCAGGCTCCTTCCCCCAAGCCTTTGCACTGCTTCTGAGGGATACGGGAAATATGTTACTGTACTGTAGTTTAAATGAATTATTACTCAAAATTCTGTATTAATATGCCTAATAAGTAATCTATTTGTCAAAAAACATTTCCTGAATTTTTTTGTTTCCTGTATTGTTACAGACATACCGTATATGCTCAATCATAAGCCGGTTCGTTTATAAGCTGACCCCCGCCAAGATGGATAAGTAAAAATGGAATTTTTTTGACCCATTCATAAGCCGACCCTATAATTCAGGGATCAGCAAACTTTGGCTCCCGGGCCATCAGGATAAGCCACTGGCGGGTCGAGATGGTTTGTTTACCTCGAGCGTCCGCAGGCATGGAGGTAAACCTAAGTAAACAAAGTGTCCCGGCCTGCCAGCGGGTTACCCTGATGGGCCGGGACAGCAACTGGTGGGGAAATTGGGGGGGGGGGAGAAGCAGGGGGTCAGAGGAGTAACCCCGTGACCACCCCCCACATGACCCCACCCCTAGCCCAGGCCCCTCACACTCCCAGCAGGCGGGGCTGGG